AATTTCACAAATCATAAAGATAAAAAAACTATCTATCTTTCTCAAATTTTTCATGTTTAATCAATTTTTACGAAGCGAAAAAGGAAAAATGTGACGTCCGTACGAATCCATAGAGGAAAAAAAAGACATGAGTCTACAAAGTACAAATGACGACATAGAGATCTGTACTACATACAACAGGAAACATAATTCATAAAATCTAGTTTTACATTTTCTCAGGCTTTCTTCTGTTTCTTCTGAGCTCGAAGTGGCGGCGGAAACAGAATTCGAAAGAGCATGGCGGATAAAACAGCTCCAGTAAAAGAGCTGACCCAATACACATAGAAATGATCCCATGTGTTGTGAGACTTGTATATATATGCCCACCCAAATGCCTGCATTGCAATATCACAAAACTATATAATCAATATATTCATTTCAAAATATCGAAAAAAGTTAACAATTATTGAGCAGGATGCAATAAAGATCACTTACAATGGCAGGATTCATGAATGGTCTAGTGAATTTAGATCCGACTATAAACACTGAGACGGTAGCGATAGCAAGCAAGAAAGTTTTTGCGAGTAGTTTCCGAGGACCTCTTAGGATAATTAGTAAAACCAAAAATGTAACACAAAAACTTAGAATCACTTCTGCAATAGCTCCATTGTGTGCACCGACTTGCAATGAAGGCTTTCCTCCAATCATAGCTTTATATTTTTCCGGAATCATCTCCATGATCGTTATCGCACCTCCTGCCGCACCAACTGCCTAGGATCACAGAATATTAACATCACATTTTCTCTTTCAAAAACGAGAGTCTAATTAAGATGGTTTTATACATGTCATCTCGAAGTTCTAATAAGGTCAGATAGTGGTCTTTTGCTCCTAAGAAATCAATGGTATGAAGTGTGAACCCGTTAATGAATCAATTTTACAAATTTAGGATTCAATCACCGAAGATTTATTTGATGTTGATTGGTGGGAAGTTTTACAAACTGGGAACTTTGGTGGGCATTATTTTTGTTGGGAGTTGTTGAAAGGTAGAAATTGAATTGAGTTGCTAAAGTAACATTTTTCGATTTGGCGATTATTTAAAAGATATACTGAAAAGGACACACGCCACAAAAGACGAGAAAAAACATGTCAGTATGGGGGGTACCAGTGGGCCAAAATGTACCATAGTTGTAGTAGTGTTTTTTTTTTTTTTTTGGGTCACAACTCACGCAAGTTGTAGTAGTTTTTAAAATTCAGAATGCTAGTATTTTTAGAAACTTGATTTATAAAATGGCATATTTTACAAAGATTTTTAAAATTCAGAATGCTAGTAAGTTAGAAGCCTCAATTGTAAAATATGCCATTTTATATAGCATTGTGATATACCATTGTTTAGAGGAATATACGTTTTCTTTGATCATCTAACAATAAACAAATGTAAGAAGATAAATTTCAAGGAAAAAAACCCAATGTAAGAAGACTCAATTAAAAAAGAAAATTGTAAGGATAATACTTTAAAAGATTCTTACTGAATCAATTTGGTTTATATTCGGTTGTTAATCAAATTTTTTTTTTCAACATCTAACTTTCGATTTAATTGTTTCTGTTCATTACGTTCGGATTGAGTTTCAATTTTTTTTTCAAAAAAAACGAGTTCATAACCAGAACAACAAAAAACACCTGGTTTGGTTTCAAAAGCTAGCTAGATCATAAATATATACCTGAGCCGGAGATCTAATGGCGAGAGAGAAGAGAGAATCTCCTGAAATACCGGCGGTATAAAACGCTGCGTTTCCACAAGGATTGAAGCTAGCTCCACCGAGACAATTTCCAATAACCGTAAAAATGGAGATGGAGACGAAAACAACCAACGTTGAGATCACCGGAGGCGCCCAAACCATGCCATGAACTCCGGCGGCGGAAATAATCGCCGCCGTCTGTATCCCAAACGTCGCCGAGAGAATAACCCAGAAAAAGGTTATCACCATATCCCCTAACGCCGACTTCACCGCATTGCTCATCGTCGATCTTTTTTTTTTCCTTTTTTTCTTATGAATGTATATGGATGGGTTTTAAGCAGTTGTTACATTGTTGTTTTCACC